TATCGGGACAAACTCCATGGTTGCGCATCTACTTACTAAGGGATTGATACCCAAAGTCTTCATGCGCACACTGCTCATATGGGTGTAATATCTCTTGAATATATCTAGTTTAAGTGAGAGTTTATATTTCTGTGCTTTTTATATTAAACACATGTACTGTCATTTATATATGGTTTTTGATTAATGATTTTTTTTTTTTTTTTTTTGCTATAAAGTTTTTGGTTTATTATCTCTTATCTTACTAAGGTACTAAAATCATAGGATTCATTCATTGCATTAACCATACCTGATTCAAGTATGCTTCCGTTTTGATTTATGAATTCTTGATGGTCCAACATGAATGATGATTATGACGATAACGAGTTTTCCAAATAGTAGTGTCCAAATTATAGTTTTTCCTGAAAAACCGATGTCGAGAGTCAACATTTTGGTAAATCCTTTTTTTTGTTGTTGAAAGCTATAGGATTTTTTTTTAAATGATAAATCTCAACTGACCTCGTTGGAATCGAAATATGAGATGCAATTAACAAAATCAGAACCAATTAGAAAACGAGTAGCAAGTGAAACAAATAAGTGGACCACTTTATTTTCAGCTCGGAGAATAAATCGACAAGACCCACTACCTACTTCGTGTAAAAGTGCTGCAATATCATTTAAGAAATAGGCATTAGAAGGAAAGAAAATATGAGCGCAAGCTTTGAACAATTTAGAGAGAATCACATTTGACGACGACAATGAGGAATTTATGGTTTTTAGCCAGGATAAGTCCCTCTAGTAGGGTCAACGTCGCACCATCCTTGACTGAGAAGGCCCCAATAAGTATTTTTACACATTTATCGGCGCTCTTAAATCTACTCAGTATTTGATTATTTGGACAAACTTCTATTTATATGAAACTGGACTCTAAAATTAAGTTCAACGATAGGAGCAACTTCGTATTTATTTGCCATGGTTTAGGTTGGAATTCAAGACTCGAGATAGTAAACCGGAGGAAGGTTAGATGACTTCAAGTCATCGTGCCAACGGCAACTCACGTGCTAAAAAAGCTGGACATGGGGTCATTTTACTTATTGGTTTTTGAATATGATTACTAAAGGAACGCATCAAGAGTTGCGATAACTTTTGTAACAATTTCTTGATGCAGCTTGCTTTGAGAAATTTATACATTTCTGCATACCCGGAAGTGAAATGCCGGACTCGAGACGAGCTTCGCTCTTCCAAAGGGAAAAATTACGTAATAAAGAAAGTGCTTATATATGTTGTCTCTCTAAGAACGCCCAAATCCACCATGATTCAACGTTCGATGTGTTGCCTGTTATAGCTGAAGTCGAAACAAAGATACTCACAGTAACCAAAGCATTTTACAGCCATGCTTTATACTTAAAAGAGGAAACCCATCAACACGAGAATCAGAATCATTTGCAGATGTCCGAATGATCATCCATTAGTTTCCGTACTAGAAGATGGCAAAATAAAAAACAGGTCACAAGGCGCAACCTTCCATTTGATCCAAGAATTATGCTGAAGCAATGTGTGATTTGTTTAGTTTACGAGAATGGTGATGATTATGACAGCGATGAAGAATCTTCGAACGAAAATTTATGCACACTGTCGGACAGATTAACGAGGTTGGTCGACTCTCCTGAGGAATCCACCAGTAACTCAAACTCTACTAAAGAAGATAAAGGACAGGTAGGGAATGCAGTCCATTGCCTGGAGTTTGTATTTGGCAGTTCAAGGCAGCTTTTGGCTATATCTTCTTCTTTGCCTTGAACAAAATGCAGTAAAGTAGGTAGGAAGATTTTGATTTTTGACATTGCTACTCATTGATGAAACTATATATTAGCGATCGGCAATGCTATTTGGCTATGCTTAAAAGTAACTTTTAGCTTCCAAAAATATTTGAATACGTTACTGTAAGTTTATAAATTATAAATTATTTTACATATAAAAGGGTGGAGATTTTATGAAATTAGCTTCAGAAAGTCCCCCAAGGGATGCAGCAGTCCACACCTGATAATGAAATGTAAATGCAATACATTTGTGATTCGAGAAAGAAATACATCATTGCATTCATTGAAGCACAAATTTATTTTCTCGAGATATTCATCCTTCTCGAACACAGCTTTTTATTGTTATTTACGATCCTATGAAGATTATGAACTCACAACGTTCTTTCAAATGCGCCACCTATCTGCATATGAGACCATTCTGGTGGTGTATTCCTATCATTTTTTCTTGCGGCTTGTGAATCAAATCCCATGCCAGGATTATCAAATGTCTGCAGAGATATCTGGTAAAACCAACAAGAAATGTTGTAGAATTAATTGACAATGAAATGGAAGGACGAAAAATAAATTTACAAAGACAATTCTGCCAAAGCACATCATCCACTAACTAAACCTTTCCCAATAAAGTTAGGGTCGGCTAATCTTTTTCTACGGGAATATATAAAGTTCTTGAACATAGTAACTAGCAAGACTGATAATCAAAGTGATTAATGACCGTTTGACAAGGCTTCTGTTTCTTGTTGAAGAGCTGTTTTCTCTAAAATCTTTTCTAGCTAAATAAAACATTTCAAAATTATTCAAACACGTCCAAAGCAGATTTTTAATCCTAAAAGCAGCTTTTGGCTTTTAGAAATCCTTGCAAACGGGCCCTAAAAGTTCAAAACACAATCACAAAGATAATCATCTTTCCGAAAACTTACATCTTTTGAAGAAAATCCGTCAACCCCAGGATTCACTCTTGCATTCACTGCTTCAAGCTTCATTGAAAGAAACTGAGACAAGAAACATAGTACTTAAGTTCAAGTTTTCCATTGGATTCGACTAACCTTAAATACGGAGAGAGAGATATACCTCGACCTGACGCTGTAAAGATTGTACATAATTAATTATCTCATCAAGAACTAGTGCTTTGCCAATAACCTGAATCCATATAAACGTCTTTAAAAAATTTACCACATAGAGGAGCATAAAAGAACATTAAGGACAGTAATGGAGGATGACCATCATTCCTATATTCAAAAAACACCAGTCGAGAGAAATAAATAGTATAATAGACAAGATTTGAAATTTTTCTTCCCAAATCCTGTCCACTACAACGTATCAAACATGTGGAATGTATATAAAAGACCACGGATAGGAAAAGATGTTAGTACTCACCTTATTACAACCGGGGACTAAATCTTGGAGAATTTTCATCCTCTCACTTATCCTCTCCCTCCTTGCCTGCCAAAGACAACAATTCACAGATATAGTATATGATTTTCATTATCCAATATTAATTCACGAATCTTTGAAAAGAAATTTAAGCAAATGTTTGAGAAGTGTTTATAAACAGTTTAAATAATAAATAGGTACGAATGAGTGGTGGATAAGTACACACTAGAGTTGAAGTGAGATTAATTACTCTTTCGGCTAAACTATGACTATCAGTAGCTTGACCCCTTCTTGCTCGTACATGGATGTAGTCTTGCTTTGGTGGCTCCACCAGTTTTGCTGGCTTCTCCGCCACTTTGTGTGAATTCCCGTCTCCATCCGCGTCAGTTTCAAGATTTTCATTCGATCCCATTACCTTTTGCCTTTTCTTCCCGCTTCCATTCTGCTCAACCATCCACAGTAAATAAATTAAGAAGATAAATAAAACAGTTCTATCATCTATGACATGTAAACTACACACACTGGCTAGTGTATATATATATATACAGAAATGATCTAATGAGCACCGGTGCTCATCTTATCCTAAACACCAATGAGTTGGCACATTAATTCATTGGTGGATTGGAACTCACAAAATCTTTATCCACCAATGAATTAATGTGCCAACTCATCGGTGCTTAGGATAAGATGAG